TGAAATGCAAGACTGATAAATCACCAAAGAGTCCAAATCCGGCAAATCGTTTTGGAAAACTGATTTTTAAGAAAGAAGTGCCAAAGATGGACTGTTTTGCCAGATACAGAGTCGCCACCTAAATATTTTATTTTGGGGAAATTTAGGAAACCCTGACTCGTGCCCAACGCCACGTGTCCGTCATCACCAAAGTTGCCTCGGCTAGGGAACTTGGGTACGATTGGGGAAGGTCATGCAATGAGCACCCCCGCTCGCCCGATCAAAGATCGATCTGTACTAAGCATGATATCTTGTTTTTGAAAACATATGCGTTCTTATTCCGGTTATTAGCTAGAATTTACTATGTGATGCGCACAACACACAAGTATAGACTAGATCGCCTAATTTAGAACAAAGCATTGCATTTTCATTTGTTTGAAAATGGTTTGAAGTTCGCTACTCGTGAGAAGGCTAAAATGCAGATTTTAATGAATTGTCCCAATTCAAGTAATCCAACCTTCACCCACAGGCATTCAGGCAGTTATATCATATAAGCGGTTAGCCTCATGGAAAGCATGCTATCATGGCAAAACTCACACTCATGCAAGATGCTAAAACATAAACACTCACAGTGTACTCCGAGCCAAAACAAGAAACTAGTTAGAAATCATGCATAATCCTAGTTCATGTTAAAATGGCTAATGCATCGCATGCAAAGTGCAACTAGAATAGGCTCGGCTAATCTAAAATGGCATATGAGATGCGACAATTCGATACATGTATTCAAATAGGAATTGAAATACAATGCAGTTAATATGATGCGCCGAGCCCGGTGCATGCAATATAGATGAATGGTGCAAACATGCATAGCATAAGGATGCTAATTGAAATATGCCCTAGAACTAACCACTGAAAGCAGGTAAGTAAAAGGGAGAAAGAAGTGGAGGTTAGAAGACATGCATCACACACACGCACGCTTATTACAAAATTGTGCGATGGAGGGACCAAAAGAATAATACAAATCATCTAATTAACTAACAAACAAGCTAATTAATTAATTACACAACCAAATCGAAATAAATAACTATTCTAAGTTATTAAAACACTGAAATGGCCTCGAGACGAGGGATGAATGCATGCTCAGACGGCTTTGCTCAGAAATCCATCGCCATGCTTCACGTTGCCTCTGTTTGCACTGCTCTGTACCTTTGAAAATTGTGCCAACTTCTGTGACACTTCTGAACCATCTTGTGTACACTGTGGGAGGTCATCGACCAAGAGATGACACCATTAACAAAGATAGGAAGGTCATCGACCAAATATAAGGCTCTCGGCCAAATGTTTGTTGCCGATCGTCACTGAATATGGTCGATCAACCATCTCTTCCTATGAAAAGCTCCTATTGCTGCAGCAGAGGACAAATAGAGCATAGCAATACATTTACAAGACAATATCTGCACAACTACACCCCTTATCATGTTTAAGACTCAAAGATGTGTAGTTCTCGACCCTCGGACCACCAATCACGTATTTCAATGCGTGATGGCCAAAGGAACCAAATGTGCAATTCAATATCAAATGAAATGCACACAAAAAAAAAGCATAAGGGGCCCCAACCTCTATCATGCTTGATCAAGAGGCAAGGGAATACACACACAATACAATGCAACCTAAGCATGCAAGCAAGCTAATGCAACATAAGCATGCAAGCAAGCGATATGCAACCTAAGCATGCAAACATGCATGCGTACAATGTAATAGGCATGCAACAACATGTGATCTAACAAGTATGCAAGATGGATGAGCATGCAACAAGCATGTAAGCATAATGTAGTAGGACTAGCATGCCACAACATGCAAGGAAACTAATATGCAACAACATATAATGTACCAAGTATGCATTAAGCATACGACAACATGCGAGGTAAACATGCAACAACATGCGAAAGGATGGACTTAAACTAAAGTGGACAGATCTTAAACATGCCCAAATCAGTGGCCGAAATGCTATGGAAATAAAGACAAAGGTACATACAAACATGCATGCCAATTAGCCTATCACCTAAGCATAGGAGAGCAACTTTCAAGAACACTTAAAAGGGGACATATATGGACATGTGACATACATTGTAATCTCTGAAATCATGTTAGAAAAGGTGCCAAACCAACCAAATAAAGCAAGCAAGTCATGCAAAAAGGCTTAAAGCTTGAAACTAGCCAAGGGGCTCAAACCAAGGCTATGCAAAATCTGAAGCAAATGACAGGTATAATCCAAAATAGTCGTAGATCATGCCAAAATGAGCCTAAAACATGCAAGGACCAAAGCCAAAATAAGTTAGAATAAAGGGCCGAAAGCATGAGGCATGCAAGGCTACAAAAGAGGTGTTACACTACACCTATCAAAACCAAACATGGCATGACTTAAGCAATGAAAAATAGAGTTATGGCATGGTAAAGCAAGACCAAAAACCCACTTAGATGGCATCCCAATTACCTAAACATGATGGCACACACAATGACCCATTCATGAGACATAAAACATCAACTCTTTAAAGCATTAAAGGAGTGACAAGCGCAAGTGTTTGAGCATGAAACATGAACTGAAATAGTATAACAAATGATGCCAAATCATTGAAATGGTCCAAGTAAAGCATGCTAGTGACTTGGACACTTAAGGCTAACAAGCTAGAATGCCTTATGGCTATACAAAGCATGGCATATATGGTCAAAACAACTCAAATCAGAGCTTAAACATGTTACAACAAGGCTAAAAGCTTCATGGAGTCGAGCCAAAATCATGCTAGAAACATGGCTTAAAGCATGATGCATGTTAAGGCAAATGAAAGGATTGTAAGGCAAGTACATGAAGCATACATGGTATGTCCAAACCAAGTCAAAACAGTGTTATATCATGGTAAAACAAAGCCTAATACATACTGAAATGAAGCTAAAACAAGCCAAGCAAACATGCTACCAATATAAGCCATTTATACTAGCATTCAAGACAATAAGGAGAGGGGATGACCCTCTCCTATTTAGGACTCCAAAACCACCTTCCCACCACTGAAAATCCTCTGAATTTCAGTGGTAGGAAGGTCATGCAAAGCCAAGAACAAGGGCCAAAAGGGATGGCCTAAAACAAGGCCTAAGAGGGAGGAAACAACCCCAAACCAAAAAGTGATCTTAAACAAAGATCTAAAGCATCAAAAATTAGAACTTATTGTAGTTTAGAGTTAAGCTTAAAACAATAAGCAAGAAGGTCTAAAAAGGGGTATTAAAAGCAATAATGCTCACTCTTGAAGAACACTTTCAAGAACAAAGCTCCAGCAGGTTTTCCAAGCTCAAACCAACCCAAGAACTCTGAAATCAACCTCAAGGGACCTCAGCTCCAAGAGGATGGTGTTCTAGTGTGTGTTTGTGTACAATAGTAAGACAATACTACACTTTTGAGTACAAAACAAGGCTAAACAAAGAAGAATAGATACAAAAGTATATCTATCCCTCAAGACTCAATTTTCTGAACCCTTGAGGAGGGAGGAGATGGTTCTCTCTTATAGAGAACCAAAAGCAAAGCTTCTTGAGGAAGCTAAGCAAAGGGGCAAATCCTTCCATATACGTGTATGGAGGGGGTGAATTATGCATGCCAATTGTGACAGCTGGCATAAAATATCTGCATAAAATAGATGAACAGGGTTCGGCCAGAAAACATGGCCGATCAACCAACATAAGTGCCAATCGACCAAAAGGAGTGCCGATTGGCCAAAACTTTTGGTCGATGGCAAGAAAACAAGGCCGACGGCTTCAAGCCTTGGCCAATGGGTTCAGGGGATGGAAAACAAGCCACCCTCTTCCCTCAGAAGCAAAAACACAAGCGCTTGGTCCACAACCAAGTACAAAACAGTCAATTTGAGAGATCTTGAGGCAAGGCGCGCTGCTGAGACCTCCGAGAACTCAAAACGAACACGAGCATGGATGATCATCGAGTGTTCAAACGATGACGTCCAAGTCTTGAGGACGGTTAAAAATGGGGTGTCTACAGTTGCCCCTCTTTAACAGAACTCGAAAGTCATAAGATGATGGGAGTGAATGTCAAAGCCGAGAGACGACCCATTTTTGACAAGGCCAAAGACTTAGACAAATAGGCAAGATAATAAAGAGATGCGCCCACAGGCAGGGGCAAGATGCAAATGACATGCACAATGCCGAACATAATTTATGATCATGCAAAGAGAGCTGTGATGAAGCAATTATGCAAAATAAATACAACATTTTAAGCGAATGCTATGCGAAGAAATGCTACAGCAAACTCGTACACAAGAAAGTAAACACGATCCAAACTACATCTCATGCAGAAAGGATGTAAGAAAATCATGCAATCTTAACCATGCACCACGCAAGAAAGACTAAGAGTGACCATTGGGAACACTTGAGATCTCAAACAAGATTTCGACGCGTTGCACGCGAAAGGAAAAAAGTGGCACAAGCATTGGAACATGTTCCAAATGCTATTAACCAAAGAGGGAGAAACATAGGGACGTATCCCGGTGTTTCGGAATAAGAAGGAGAAACATAGGGACGTATCGCGGTGTTTTGGAAAGGTATAAGCATTGGAACGTATTCCAAATGCTCTTAACCAAAGAGGGAGAAACATAGGGACGTATCCCAGTGTTTCGGAATAAGAAGGAGAAACATAGGGACGTATCTCGGTGTTTCAGAAAGGTATAAGCATTGGAACGTATTCCAAATGCTCTTAACCAAAGAAGGAGAAACACAGGGACATATCCTAGTGTTTCGGAATAAGAAAGAGAAACATAAGGACGTATCCCGGTGTTTCGGAAAGGTATAAGTAGGGAGACTCTCTTCAAAGAGCTCAAGCTTTAAATCTCCTCAAGAGCAAACAGCAACAACAAAGAAAAAGAAAACTCTTATTTGATCCTGAAAATGAGGTACCTGAGGCTCACGTGGGAGAAGAGGAAGCAGAGAAAGAGCACAAGACACCATTAAAAAGAAAGAAGAAAATGATGGTCACTCCCTCTGATTTCACTGGGGATTCCATTCATGAAGCATCTGCTAAAGCAATGGAAGTGGAACACTCCAAAGAGATCATTGTATTCCAGAGGACTAAGAAGAGGAGACAACAGCAAATACTTAGAAATAAAGCTGCTGCTGCTAATGCAATCCAAAGAGAAACTACAAGGAGGCAACAAACTGTTGAACATTATACCCTTCGCAGTTCTCCAACCATTGCTACCACTTCTGAAACTAGTAATTTCCTGTTGTGTCTCTAGTTTCCTTTCTCAAGTTTTCAATACTGAAACTTAACATTGCTTCATATTTCTTCTTTTACAGCAACAACTACTCTACCTTCTCCTTCAATAAGGACTACTTTAGTTTCATCTGAAGTTGAAAGACTATTAGAAGCATCCTCAAAAAAGGAAAAGAAGACAGACACTAAAGTGCCTCTAAGTGTAGAGCTCATTCAGGCAATACTCCCACTTCCTGATTCTACACTTTTTTTTAGGCAAAACATTCCTATATCTTTATCCTTTGGCTTAACTCCATACATTCCTCTTCTAACATTTAACTCAGCCAAATTTATTCTCCTTACAATCCTTGCTACGCCTTCCCCTCCTGAGGAAATCCCAGTTATTACTTCATCTCAAGTGATAGCTGATTCTCTCAGAGAAGATACTGGTAGCTCACCAATTCTTTGTCCACCATCACTATCCAACTTCAGCCCTTCTTGTCTTGACCTACTAGTTTCCAGGACAATGGAAACTGCTAGGGACATTTCATCTTCCTCTCCTATCCCTATGCAGCCATCTCTTCCTTCCACTAGAGCCCTTTCTGCACCACCAATGTCAATGGAAGAGATGGACATTTTCGAAGCTAGACTGGCTAGCCTTTTTGACATGCCTTCTACCACTCCAACAGCCAGTAATGAAACTAAGCCACTGGTTCTGACTAATTCTCTCTTGGAAATTTTTTAGAGCTCTTGAACCATCAGTAGGGCTTCCTCACCTTCATTGGATTTGGGCATCTATTTGGAGTTGTTGACATTGTTCTCGAGGATCCCATTCGAAGCCTTGCAAAGATCTATTATCAATAATGGTTTCATCCAGTGCTGCAAGGTCATTGAGCAATCCAACATAGCTATTTCAAGTCACTTGTCTCAGGCAGCAGCTACCATTGACTTTTATGTCAACATTTGCCATGTTGCCAAAGCTGCAGAGGAGAAATTGTTGAAAGACCAAGAATTCGTTTCCCATATACATGCTGAGGTGTCTGAATTGAAAGAATAGCATTCCTTTGTCTCCCAATTTCGAGCCCAACTTTTGGAGAAGAAAGCTCAATTAGAGGAAGAGTTATCAACAGTTAACCTGGCTTTGGATTGAACTGCCACAAAGCTGCAAATCACTAACCAAGGACTGGTTGATTGAACGCAGGAGATGACTACAACCATTCAGTTGTTCCCATCCCTTAAGAGTAGAGAATCAATTGTAAGGGAACAACTGAAACATTGTACTGACTTTTAGGCCAATCTATGGTTGCATGTACTTAACTCCTTATGAAATGAATTCTTTATTTATTATTTGAGTGTTTTCATGCTTCTCTTGCTTAGCATTTACTATACTCCTTGTGTTTTCCATGCAGTTGGATAATAAGGCTTCAAGTACCTACCATTAATTTTCTTAGGGTGTACATACCCATTCAAATTTCTAAAATGGTATGCTCCCCAAGGCAAGACTCTATAAACTTGATATGGTCCTTCCCAATTAGGTGACCATTTGCCAAACTTACGGCTTTTAATTCCTATTGGGAGTATTGTCTTTCATACCAAATCACCTTCACCAAAGCTAATGTGCTTGACTTTCTTATTATAGTTTTTAGTTGCTTTCTTCCTTTGGAAAAGAATGCTATTTAATGCCAAAATTCTAGCTTCATTCAAATTTTCTAATTCCAAGAACATGCTCTGATGGTACTACTCAGGAACTAACTGATCCTAGCATCTCACGCTCAAGGACTTGATGTTAATTTCTACAAGTAACACTGCATCATGCACATATACTAAAGCATAAGAAGTAACTCATGTACTTGATCTTGGAGAAGTCTTATAAGCCCATAATACATCCAACAGCAAGTTATGCCAATCCCTAGGATTGTCTTCCACAACTCTCTGTATTCCTTTTTTCAAAGACTTATTAGATGATTCTGCCTGACCATTTACTTGTTCATAATAAGGGGTAGAATTAACAAGGCTAATTCCAAACTTTGTCGCGAAAGACTTTACCATCTTCCCATCAAATACAATCTCATTAACCACAGTTATAGTCTGTGAGATGCCAAACCTGTGAATCAGATCTTTAATAAATCCAATAACTTCAGTTTGGTCTACAGCCTTATATGGTTTAGCTTCAACCCACTTAATGAAGTAGTTTGTGGCCACTAAGATGAAACAATGGTGCTTCGAAGAGGGTGGATGTATTTTCCCTATCATATCCGTACCCCATCTTCTAAATGGTCAAGGCTTCATAGCTGCATGTAAATCAGTTATTGGTACATGTCTTATCATGCCATGCTTTTGGCATGCCTGGCAACCTCTAGCATATTCTATACAATCTTTAAGGATGGTGGGCCAATAGTAAGAATGTCTTCGAAGCAGCTATCTCATCTTCACACCAAGCTGATGAGCACCACAGATGCCTTCATAAACTTCAGCCATGGCTGTCAATGCCCCTTTGGCCTTAGACAATCCAATAACAACCCATATGCTTCTCTTTTGTAAAGAGCATTACCATACACTATGTATTGCATAGATTGTAATTTGATATTTCTATTGGCTTTTGAAGATGGGCCAGTTAGGTACTGCATTATTGGATGCCTCCAATCTTGATCTTGTAAGTCATTATGATTGACTTCTAACACCACATTCCTTTTAGTTAAAGGTGGTATTAATTTTTGATATGTTGCTTGACTTATGTTCATTAGAGTGTCATCCCTTCTCTTGAAATTCAAAGCTTTTTGAGCTACATCATTGGTTTTGTCATTCATGAACCTTGGGATATAAGTCACATTTGTTATTTGAAATTGAGAAAGCAAATGTAATGCAACAACATAGTATGGCAATATGCTTGCACTTTGACATTTGAAAATTCCTTTCACTTGGTTGACCACCAATTGAGAATCCTCAAATATATCAACTGCATGAGCTTGTAATCCAATAAGCATTTCCAGTCTCATTATTAAAGCTTCATATTTAGCTTGTTTATTAGAACAAGTAATTTCATCAACTTTGAAACCATGTGTGGTTTCTACCCCCTGTGGCGACTTAATCACCACACCAATTCCAATTAGACCATTGGCTTTTGATCCATCAAACCACATTTTCCATGGCTCAATATTAACCATACCAAGATCCATTATCTCTTGGCTTTCTGTCTGACATGGATGATCTGCAAAGAAATTAGCTAAAACTTGTCCTTTTGCTGCCTTTTAGGGGACATATTCTAGATGAAATTCTGATAAGGCTAGTATCCATTTGCCAATTCTTCATCTCAACATAAGTCTAGATAACATATACTTAACCAAATCTATGGTTGCAATTACCAAGACAATTGTAGGCAAAAGATAGTATTTTAATTTCATTGCAGCAAAATACAACGCAAGGCACAACTTTTCTATAACTGAATACTTACATTCACAAGAATTTAAAAACCTACTAAGGTCATAAACCGCTTACTCTTTGCTGTCTTCATTGTCCTGGGCTAAGAAAACTCTCAATGAATCTTCTACTGCAGCAATGTACAACTTCAAGGGCTTATCATTCTTTGGTGGCGTCAGAACTGGAGGCTTGGCCAAGTAGGCTTTAATTCCTTCAAAAGCAATTTGATACTCTGCTGTCCACACAAACTCCTCTTCATCTTTCAACTTGATAGAGGCTTGGCTTCAATGATGGCTTTGGCTTTATTTTGATCAATCTGTATTCCCTTCTTGTGTACTACATAGCCTAAGAAGTTTTCAGCTGATACACCAAAAGCACAATTGAGATGATTAAGCTTTAACTTGAACTTTCTCATTCTTTCGAAAGTTGTTTTCAAGTGAACCAAATGTTCCTCCATGGATTGGGATTTTATTACAATGTCATCAATGTAACACTCTAAATACCCTCCAATGAGATCATGAAAGATAGTGTCCATTGCCCTTTGATATGTAGCCCCAACATTCTTTAGCCAAATGGCATTTAAACCCATTCGAAGGCGCCAATGTTCCCAGGACATCTGAATGGTGTTTTATGGACATCCTCCTCTGCAATGCAAATTTGGTTGTAACCAGAATGCCCATCCGTCATAGATAAAATCTTGTAACCTGCTAAACTATTCACCAATAAGTCTACTATGGGCATGGAGTACTCATATTTTGGAGTTGCTAAATTCAAGTTTCTAAAATCGATGAATACCCTCATTTTACCATTCTTTTTTACCACGGGCACAATATTGTATAGCCATTCAACATACCTGGCTGTTCTAATAAAACCTGTCTTAAGGAGCCTAAGAATTTCCTTCTTGACCTTCTGAATCACTTCAGGACTCATCCTTCTTGGCTTCTACTTGTATGGCTTGAAATTAGGCTTCATAGAGAGCTTATGTTCCACTAATGACCTATCCAATCCTGGCTATTCATTATAAGACCATGCAAAACAATCTTTATATCTCTTTAAGACCATCAATAACTGGTCCCTATCAAGAGCACTTAACCAAGCACTGATGTAAGTGGGTTGCTGTGCAGAACCTTCCCCTAAATCAACTTCTTCTAAGGGGTCTTTTATTTGAGAACTCACTAATGCTTCTCTTTTGATTTCTTCTGTCCTCGAAGCAATTTCTTTGCTTTGTTCTGCTCCCACTTTCTCTGATTCAACATCTTTGCCTTCTTCCTCATAGACAAAGTTTGTCCATAAGGCTTCTTCTTCCTGTATTTCCTGGATTTTTTTTCGATGTCCAATGCACAGTATTTATCAAAGGTCAAAGGTCTGACCTATTGTTGTTCCTACTCACAGCCAACTACCATGGCTTCCTTTTCTTGTTCCTAAACTTTTTGGACTATTGATTTTAAGTCCAATGCTGAAAACTTGACTAAAGCCAAGTGTCTGGCTTCTTAGGTTTCATCTTCTTGCCTACAACCAGGCATCATTATCATTTTTTATGACGAATTCTTCATTAGCACTCTCCTGTACCAAGTGCTTCAGTTGTGTTACTTCCTCATCAGCCGTCACTTCGGCTGAACCATCAGGTTTTCTCAATATACTGAGTGGTGTCACTCCTTCAATATACAACTTAGCCTCTGCAAAGTCAGCATAAGCGACAAAGGGTTGAGGGTTTGCATTGATCTCCTATGTCTCTCCATTGCATAAGGCCATCATTATCTTTTGATATAGAGAGGAAGGCACACATTTGTTGGTGTGAATCCAATCCCTGCCAAGTAAAGCATTATACTTAGCATTATTATCAATAACAAAGAATGCCGTCATACAATCTCTGGTTCCCACACTCAGGTTGATGGGCAGAATACCCTGAGCCATCTGCTTATCCCCAGCAAGACCAGCAATGGTTGTTCTGGTTGGGATTAATCTGGGGTTCCTTTTCCCTAGTTTTTTCAAAGAGGATTTTTGAAGCAGGTTCACTGCTGCCCCATTATTTACCAATACCCTATTCATCTGTATCTCATCAAAAAAAGCCTTGATATACAAGGGCTTGACATGCTGTTTCATGGATGTTGTAAGATACTCAAAAGGATATAAAAGATTAATACTCACTTCTTCCTCACTCTTGTCCTCAGTTTCCATTGGTGTGGCCACTTCAGATTCATCTTGAACCATACTAACCTGTGAATCTTCACTAGAAACTAGAATAGGGTCAACCTCCTGACCTTCTTGGTCTCCATATTCAGCCTGGAACTCCTGTGGTAGTATATGTACCATATTCACTAACACTAGAGGAAATGAGCCAAACTGAACTACTGGCTACACTTGCTTCTTTTCCAGGCTAACTTATTCAGTTATTTCATAAGCATCTTTCATGCTACATTCTGGCACTTCAGTACTATTGACTTCCTTCAAATGGTCTGTTCTTGCTGTTTTTTCGACCAAAAATGTTTGTTCAACCATGAAGGCTTCAAACATCTCCTCCTCAACCATTTCTTTCCTTTGGCCTAGGTCAACTTCTCCTTCTGTCTCATTGTCGCGTTCCATCAAGGCCTTTTCAAGACCTGCTAAGCTAGATCTTTCCTTGGCTTTCAGTTCAGAGTG